GACTCAGAAAGGGAAAGCAGGGCTTGGCCCAGGCTGTTTTTGGCAGGGAACAAGAACTAATGACTCGGACTGGGAATATTGTCGGGAGAACTTTGATCATTACCTCACATAACGGGCTGTGGGAAAAGAGGGAGTAGTGAGATAAATCAGCTTTAAGGTAGAGAGCTCTGGTCGGAAAGCTGTCAGAGCTCAACAGCTTCCCTCTCTTTGTCTCTCTGATTATGGACACCCTGGAAGGAGCAGAATTCTGCTTCCCACAGTTCCTCAACACCTCCTGCAGGAAGCCTGTGCAGCATCATGCTGAGACCTTATTACTTTACATCCTGCTGTCCTGCATCTCTTTGCTCACTGTGGCTCTCAACCTGCTGGTCATCATCTCTATCTCCCACTTCAGGCAAAAAATACACTTATCAGCATGGCCTGAACTGAACCCTGAGCATCATTATTCCTAATGTTGAATATGACTGAGTTATCCTTAGAAAGCAGAATAATTCAATTTCCTGCTTAGTTTCTAAAGATGTTTCATCATGTCTTACTCCTTATTTGAGTGACTCATTTAGTGGAAAACACAAGTACGTGTCAGGTTTGCTCGGCTGCACCTGCCTCTCTCACTTCTCTCCCTCTATTTTAGCTCCCTTACCCCTGACTTTTTTATCTGACACACCTGCTTCACGTCCCCTGAATCACCACCAGCTGCACCTGATTAGTTTCTTCCTATTTATACCGTGCTCATCGTCCACTTCCCTACCAGTTCTTTCTATAGTCTAGCCCGTTTCTATGCCGATCATTTATTTTGTCTACTTTATGTATTTGCTCACGCTCTTCATCCCAGCTCCGTTCCTGCCTTGTGCCCCGTGTCTTATCTTCCCAGCCGCTATCGCTTCTCCGCACCACAGACCTCCTCAACTCCACATCACTCCATCACGCAGGTCGATGCACAGTCTCCCATTAACTGTTTCTCTGACTTTGTCCCTCAGCAACCAACCACCACGACCAGGAGTGAATCCTAGCGTCCGCAGCCCGGCCTCCTTCTTATCATCCCATCACTGACTGTATGTTTTCCATGACTGCCACTTGAAACCCGGTTCTGCTCCGTATTCCTTCACCTGGTTGTACACATATTATCATCACTGTAAATAAATAGAGCACTTCTTGCACTGAAGTCAGCTACCTGGGTCTGTCATTTTTTTTACTTGCTCACCTTCCTACCAGAGCGTTCCTAACATATAATTATAGTGATATTGATACTAATTGTCACTTTTTAAATCTTGTAGCTGCAGATTATATTGTTATATAGTTTCATACAAGGGAAAACATTACTTGTCTGTGGTGTCATTCCCTAACACCCCTAGTCTGTTTTAGTCCAGGCTACGTGATATGACTGTGTGTGTTTTAAAACTCTTGTTAGCCACTGACCATCTGGTCTGCCTAAGCTCCAGGAACAACTGAGTGCCCAGTGTAGGAGGCAATTTTTAAACCCATTATCTATCATGCATGACCTGCTCTGTCCTCTTGGGGTCACTATGTGTGATGTGTAATGAACGCAGCACCACAGAAGAAGAAGCAGCCCAGATGCTGCACATTATATCTGTAACGATGGCGGCAGTCTTGAGGGGTGGTTTGGTTACACTGGTCAAGGTGAGTGTACAGAGAATGTTTATGGGCTTATTTTGTTAATACAGTGGTAGGAGAGTAGCTTCTTCTTCTTTTTTTTTTATCGCCAGTTAATGTTGTATTTTGTCAAACACAAGTACCTGATGCCATCGGTGTCTCGTTGATAACACGAGCCTACTTCATAAACAGATGGTCTTAACATAAAAGTGCTGTGGTTCCGTGTGCTTTGATCAGCCTGTGTAGGTGAGAACACATCTTGGTTACTTTTGGCTGTCAGTCAAACATGGTAACCTCTTTAAAGGTATATTTTTATGGTTGTTAAAGTAACAGCTAGCTAACCACCGTCACAAAACCTTAGCATAATGAAACATCAGTTACGTTGTCGCTCAACTGCACTTAGTTTATCTGCACTGACCATACACTAAATGTCATGAAAAGAGTAGACCAGATAAGAAGGCTGTTTGCCTTTTCATATAATATCCTTCAGGTGTGATCATTTCATTTTACTTGTCAGTTTTGTCGCTTCCTATTTTGAATGAACTTTATATATTTTTGTTGCCTTACAAAGCACATTGGGAGTCTCTGTACCGGAGTCATATTCTTTGTGTTTAACCATACTTGGCCAATAAAACTGATTCTGAGTCTAATGTTCATTCAGAATTAAACATATCTAATGAACCACGAAGTCCCTTTTTCTGCCTGGCTGCCTAAACATCAATTTGACTAGCAGTGGGCTGTTGTACCCCATACTTTTTACCATACTGACTCTGAGAGACGAGGCAGTCCAAGTAACTTCAAAACAGTGCTGATTTATTCAAAGGATCACAGGTAAAATTAACATTACACGCTCAGGTATCTTGCACCTCCAAACTGCTCGCAGGCAGATGTAAGATGAAAGACCCTGAATCCACCAGGCCTATACATTATATCCCTTTGGTTGGGCTAGCCCCATACTACACAGAAACGTTAACCGAGACGTCTCTGTTGCCAGCTCTGCAGCTAGCCATAGCAGCAGTCAAAACATGAAGCAAATCAATGTGTGTGTGTGTGTGTCTGTTGATTAAGTGGTGTGTAGCTAAAAACATTCTCACGACCTCTAGTACATGTCGTGACTTAAACATAAGAACATATTATGGCTAAGGCTACAGTTCTACACGTCATAATAATAATATTAAACACCCTGTCTGCTGACAGTCATCAACTCTTCTCTCTAGTTATCCTTGACCAGATGTACCCTGTAGAAACTCATAAGCATGACTAAGCATTTAACAGTCTAACTAGACATCCTATCTCCACTAAACATTTCTAATACATAAAGTATCTATCCAATATCTATCTGACTAAAAATACCTAACAGGGCAAATTTGCTAAAGCCCATTATGATTTCAGTATACTTAATTTTATATTATAATATCAATACTAATGGTGATGTAGATCATTTTCTGGAAGACCAATTAACAGTCAATAATACACAATTAAATGTGCCAAAGAATGGGAGAGCATTCATATGGAAGCTCAGTTTACGAGTTAAATGATGTTTGCCCATTAATTTGGCCCCAACCAAGGGGTGTCAGGCCATGCCGTCATACGTTTTCAGAGCTCCACGATAAGCAACACCATTTTCAGTATCTCTACCCCTAACTGTTCAGTGTGTGTCTTCTTTCCTGTCGTCAGGGCCTGAACAGCCCCCGGTGGCAGCAGCTGGCCTCTCGACCACTGTGTTTATCTGCTGGTCTCTGTAGTCCAGAAGCCCAGCAGGCCCGTGCAGATGCTGTCTTCAAGGTCACGATGGTACCAGGTGATGGAGTGGGGCCTGAGCTGATGACTGCTGTCAAGGAAGTGTTTAAGGTACAGTATATTTTGAAGTGACTGTGCTGGAATCATCACTGTCTTTCATAAAATGTGTAGTGCACAATCAATAAGGTGCAAAAAAGTAGAGGGCAACACTGAATCCATACTGTCAGAATTTTTTTTCTCCTCACTCTTGACTCAAGTACTTCTGTATTTCAGCATTCAAAAATGGTGAGGATGGGGTTAATAAATAACCTTCAATTAAATATTAAGACATTCATAAGTGTCAGTTTTATGTAATCCATGAATACATAGACTTTAGTATTTTTCACATTTTTCAGTTTATACACCAGCAGTGTTCTTTAACATTCTTTAAAAATGCTAAAAAAAAAAAAAAGCCCAACATGACATTTGTGTGGCATTTACCACCTATTTAAAATAGTCGCTCTTTTGCTTTAGGTAGGTACTTTATTGATCCCACAGTGGGGAAATTTCTTTACTTGCTTTTATTAAAGTGTTTGGCTTGTACTTTGCTTTCTCCTCAGGCAGGAGATGTACCGGTAGAATTTGAGGAGTTCCACCTGAGCGAGGTACAGAACATGGCCAGTGAGGAGAGACTGGAGCACTTGTTGACTTCTATGAAGAACAACAAAGTAGCCATCATAGGTAGCTTAACTTTTTTTGTCAGCCTCTCATAGTTGATCCCTGTTTAATACCAACAAAATTTTATTTAAAAGTCCGCAGTAAAGTTCTTTGGCTCAAATAAGCACAGTACATGTGATTTTTAAAGATAAATTCAATTGGACCTAACATGGACTATATGTTTGGTTATCCAGGAAAGATTCACACGCCCATGGAGTACAAAGGAGAGCTGGCTTCATATGACATGAAACTCAGGTAAAGCAAGAAAGTCAGTTGTGCTTTTGTATGTGTGTTTTTGTCTTTCTTTCTATTGTTTTTAAAGTAACTCTTAACTCCCTCTGCGTTCCACAGGCGTAAATTGGACCTCTTTGCTAATGTGGTTCATGTGAACAGTCTACCGGGCTACAGCACTCGCCACAACAACCTGGACCTAGTCATCATACGAGAGCAGACTGAGGGGGAGTACAGCTCCCTGGAGCATGAGGTAAATATCACTCCGCCTTCTCATTGCAGGCAGAGGATGAGCTGCGCTTTTAAACCCATGTAAAACAGGAATAGAGTGATTTCGCCAGCATTAAACTGGATATCAAAGCAAAGATTGACCAGTCTGACAGACATGCTGAAATGGTTCAGTCTGTTTTTGTGTGTGCTTTTTATTCCGGTTCTCTTTTGAACTACTTTTTATTCATATTGAGGAGTAATAGAGATGCCAGAATAAAATTTAAAGCACTGTAGTCAACAGTGTCATGGAGGGGAGTAGTATAGCTGCGTGACACCACATCCCGCCCCATTTTCATTTGATTTATCAGACTGTGTGTAAAATCCTAGTTAGTGTACTGTATGTACATACACATTGAGCGCCGATGTACCAGAGTCAAATTCCTCGTGTGTCCGACACACACGGCCAATAAAGCAGATTCTTCTTCTTCTTCTTCTAATACACCTTTTAAATAATATGTGCAGTCAGACAGACATGAGCTGGACAACGAATAAAATGCATTTGCTTTATCTAATGTGTAATGTTTTCATTCTCATGTGCTTTTGATTAGTTAAGTCTCCAGTAGAATTATCTGTATTAAAATGTGTATATACGCTTTCTTGTTCTAGAGTGTGGCAGGTGTGATAGAGTCTTTGAAGATCATCACCAGAGAGAAATCACGGCGCATCGCCAAATTTGCCTTTGATTATGCCACTAAAAAGGGGCGGAGCAAGGTCACAGCAGTTCACAAAGCCAACATCATGTAAGGAAACAGAAAAGCTCCCTCTCTGCTTTTTCTCTTGTATATATTTTTGAATCCTGAACTTATTTTTAAAATTGTGTAAATTTGAGTCATGATTTACATTAGTAATAGCAACTCGTCCTCACCCCCATCGTCTCATTACAGGAAGTTAGGCGATGGCCTGTTTCTGCAGAGCTGTGCAGAGGTGGCACAACTGTACCCCAAAATAAAATATGAGAACATAATCATTGATAACTGTTGTATGCAGGTACATGAAGTCTCACTGTTTATCCTCCTGACTTTATTAAGAGATGATGCATGTTATGTTTTATACCTAATATTCATACAACTGTTGGATTCATATGCTTGTTATAATTCTTTAGCTGTGCTTGATTCAGAAAAACAGTATTAAAATCAAAACTTTAATTGTCATGTATCATTTAGTACATGTTATAATGTTTATTTACGATTGACTAAACACAACTGATTTAGGTTTTCATTTCACTTCCCCGTTTCATATTTAAAGTTGCCATTATCTATGTTTCTCTGCTGCAGCTGGTCCAGAACCCATACCAGTTTGATGTGCTGGTGATGCCCAATCTGTACGGTAACATTATTGACAACCTGGCGGCAGGGCTGGTGGGAGGAGCAGGAGTTGTTCCTGGGGAAAGCTACAGTGCAGAGTATGCTGTATTTGAGACTGTAAGTTTCCACCATTTTGTTTGTTTTTCATGGATGTCAGATGTAGTATTACTGATGAGTGACTGTCCTTTTTCTCAGCCCATTTTTAGTGCTGTCAGCCTTCATTCCCTGTGTTGTTTTTTTTTTGTTTTTTTTTGTTTGTGTGTTTGTTTCAGGGTGCACGCCATCCCTTTGCACATGCCGTGGGAAGGAACATTGCCAACCCCACTGCCATGCTGCTCAGTGCTGCTAACATGCTGAGGCACCTCAAGTGAGTCAGCTTCTTTGGTTTTGTAAGAACAAGTACACACCATGCCCCTGTGTTCTGTTCCAGCCCTCTCAAGGTTCTGAAGATTACTCTGCCTGTTTGTCTGAATGTGGACAAGACAATTCTGGTCACATCTTTGTTTTCACCGTATTGTGTTGCAGCCTGGAATATCACTCACAAATGGTGTCAGATGCTGTCAAGAAGGTCATCAAACAGGGCAAGGTAAGTGTGTGTGAGTGAGAACATGTTTTACTTGATCAACCAATGCCCCTGGTGCATTCAGTCTACGAATGTGGTGACATCTGTCTAACAAGGTTAACTCCAAAAGGGGGTAGTTTTTCTATATCAGCTTACAGAGCAGTAGAGCACAACAACAACCTGGAATTGTGCAGAATGAGGATATGTGAATCCCACATGACCCTGATCTCAGTTAACCTGCTGCTCATCGTTTTTGTGGGTCAGTAACTGCGGCCTCGTGCAGTTTGCTGGTGGCACTTCAGAAAATAAAAAATGTACCACATTCATGAGAGTTCACGGCTTTGGTGTGTGACAAGGAACAGTTAGCAAAGAGCTCTGTCACATAAACCAGCCAAATGGCAGCAATGGTGCCAGCACATAGGTGTAATATTAGCAGTTCCTGACCAACAAATGACTCAGTCTAGCAGCCTGGATATTACACTTCAGTGAGTTAGAGAGCCTTCGACTGCTCACTTAGCTCCTGTCTCTTACATGCCTCATCCTTGCTCTGTGTTGTTGTTCTAAATGTGAAAGTGGAATGCACTTTTTTCCCTTTTTAACTACATTTTGCACCTAATACATATAGATACAAACACAATCATGAAGTAGGTAAACCTTTGTCTCTCAGATGGGTGTTGTGCTCTATGGTCAATTCATTTCGAAAAATGCAATTTGAGCAGCTTCAGGAAAAAATAGTTTACCTTTTTTCCCCCCCATTGCTCTTTTATAAGAGGAGCCAGAAGCTGGTTGATCAGTTGGGGTAGCGTTGTCTTGCAAATGTGTAAACGTAAGAATTGATATTTTAAGGGAATGCTTGTCAATTGAAAGCAGAATTCGCCTGCAAGTTGTCTGAAGTGCCCTTCCTCTCCATCTTCCTCCTCCTCTAATTCCCTCCTCTCCTTGTACCCAATTATCCTGTGTATATGTGTGTGTGTGTGTGTGTGTGTGTGCACATCTAAGGTACGGACACGAGATCTCGGCGGGTACTCTACCACCAGTGACTTTGTGCACGCTGTTGTGGAAAACCTGCGTCATCGACCTGTTTAAGATGTTTGGTCACACACCTCACTGACATTTCCTTAGATCTGGACATTGTTCTTAACATGTTTGGCTGAGTCTTAACAACAGTGATGCCACGCAGTTTTAACAAACACTATCAGTTGCATCCTAGTGTATATGGTTTATACTGGAGTTTCTAAAAGAGTCCAGTGAACAGTGCCTTGTGTTGTACATGACTACAAAGCTTGTGAGGCTTTTTCTCAAGGACTTACATCGCACAGCTTGATCTCCTTCTGCTCCTCTCCATGGACCACGCCTGCTCTCCATCTCTTTGAGCCTTTTAGCTTTTATGTTTTTGTCTTTGCTGAGTCAAATACTGTTTTTACTCATTCTGGGCGACCTTTTTTGTCCACCTAGTTTCATGTGTTTTTGCTTGTTGCTTAATTTTCTGACTGCTTCAGCCATGTTGGCCATATAAGCTACCTCTGCTGTTACACAGTATTAGAAACAGTCTTTAAAGCATCCAGACAACCTTAATCAAGAGCTTATAAAGACTAATCTAATTTTAGCTCAAGATTCAACACCAACATACAGCAGTGTCGCCTACAGTATTGTATTCAAAAGTATGCACAAGAACCACCAGCGTCCTGCTGCCACCATGAGAAAGAATGTTAAACTTGTTATAATGAGAAACACAACAACAGGACCCTTTCATGTTAAAACAAGATATTTTTCCTGTAATTACTACATACTGCATTTTTGACAAACGAGACTACTGGAGTGAGTGACAGCAATGCACGTACTTAACTTTGAGCAGGACCTGCTTAGCTCCTTCAGTTCAGCAAAGACCAGTGTGCGCTCCAGCCAGCCCTTGAGAATCACTGATCTGATGCTTAAATTCACACAAAATAATTTGCCCACAAAATAACACATAAATGCAGGGCACGAGCCCTGATAAATAAAAAAATACCCTGTACATGTCCCGATGACGTTACAGATATTGACAGCAGGTAAGGTCAGTGTGTGCACTGCCATCGCTCACTCCAAGGAATGACAGTAGCACTAGGGAGTAGGCTACATGATCTTCTCTAGAGGTGTAATATCATATTCAATACATAAATTTGAAGCTATATTTCTGTAGAGGCTAGGCTATATGTTGAGTATGCAATGACCACCAGATGAAAAAATTGAGCAAAATCATAATAAAAAAATTTTTACATGTGGTACAGGATTATGGCTGCAGGCACCACTGACGTACAGTATTTCACATTTTTGTTTTTCTGATTTCCTCTCTACTCAGAAGTGAACAATCTAAAGACTCAAAGCTGCTGTAATTCAGAATCGACTTTAATGGCCGAGTATGTTTAAAATTTGACTTGGGTGCAGAGGCTTTCAGTGTGCTTTGTAAGGCAACAGGGAAATATAGAATATGTGTGCATTCAGAACAGGGAAACGTGCAAATCAAATTGAAGAGGACAGGAAAAAGAGATGATGTAATTATAGATATGTGCACATTATGAGAGAAGAGATTCAGCTTGATATATATAGTGCTTATATTTACAATTTATTGTGCTGGGGTGATCGCTGTGTCCTGTCATACAAACATGGATCATGACCTGCAGATACTATCACATTTGTGACAAATGTCTTTGTGTTTAATAATACAGTTCTGCCATTGCAGAGCTGTAAATACAACTAAAGGCTGAAACTGATGCTGTCAGTTACCACATAGCCAGTGTTTGTTGTTGTGAAATTATTGTTACAGGAAGTATTTTGACATTTACTAAACACCAAGTATAATTTGACTTGTTTAATAAATAAGTATTGCTCCACTGACTCTTAAGTCATTTTCAGGTGTTATAAAAACCTACAATAGCCATAAACATGTCCATATATAATGATCACAGTGTCGTTAAACTAATCCTGTGTTGTCAGAGTACTGCACATCATCTACACTGGTCTAAAGTATGAATTGCTATACTGTAGATTATATGTTGAATGGTAAAGTCAATTTTATTTTCAGACAATTTCCAAGAAATGTTTTGTCCTACTCATACCCACAGAACTGTTTGTGCCATTGATCCTGTAAGATATGCAAACACTGTTTTATCACACCACTTCAGCTATTCGCCTTCTTATATTACTGTGCTGCAACTGAGGTGAATTCATATGTGGTCAGTTGTTCATCACAAATAATAAAAATTAAAGTAGTAAATGTGTTACTGTAATGAGTACTTGCCGGGTAGCATGTGAATTTCCAAATGGGGATCAGTAAGTTCTTATTATGTTGTACTTTGTTTTATTATTCTCATTTTAAAAGGGAGCAAGTGATGAAGTTATCAAATAAATGTAGTGAGTAAAAAGTACAGTATTTTTCTCTAAAATGTAAAGTCGACGTATGGGTTGGCAGAAAATGAAAATTCTCAAAGTACAGATAACTCAGACATGTACATAACGGCTGCACTTGAGTAAATGTACTTAGTTACTTCCCCCTCTGAATTTTTTTTAATGATACTATTGCGACTGAATACTAAGTAAAAAGAATGGATGCATGTTTTACAACGTCTTTTTCATGTTAACATTTAAAACAATGTTTTTCTGAGCATTAATAAAGTATCAGCTTTTTAGCTTTGGTATATTTGAATTCTCAGCCACAAGTAATGTTAAAAAGAAAAATTAGCACAAAACTGATGGTTTTTAAAACATCTCATTACTCATAGTATTTGTGCTTCCTGTGAGTACTGTTGTTTAAAGACTCTCTAACACACTGGCCATGATACTGTATGTGGACAAGTGTTGCTGCAGCTGTACATATATTAACACACTGTCTTTATGTTTGCAACAGGTGCGCACTGGAGACCTGGGTGGCTATGCAACAAGTGACGAGTTCACCCGGGCTGTCATTGCTAACCTGGTAGTCTAACGACTGTATTTGCAAATCTGTCAGCTGCTGAGACGCACACATGCTTTTTGAATGTACTTCCTGTTACAATGATGACTGATGTTACACACGCAGTGTAGTATACTCCTGCAACATTTTACACACATTTTCCAACTTTACAATATTGATAAAATGCAGATGAAATACACTCTCTAATATCCACAAACTCTGGTTTGCAGTTGATCATAATTATTAAATATGACATCTAAGGCAAACATATATGTGTGTCGGACATGCAGTTCAACACAAATCTTATGATCAGCACAGAGTGTTTTCCAGTGCTGTTTCACTGGAGCACACCAGGTGTTTGCACTGCGTTCTCCAGCAAAGCCCTGTAATTCCTACTTTTATGTCTTGTGGTAAAAAGCTGGTATATTTTCATATTTATTACCTTTCATGTTTTAGCTTTATTGCTTTTTCACTTATGATAGGATATGAATAATAAATATTAAATGAGATGCCACATCTTTTGTCCAAAAGTCTTGCATGAATGTTAATACACAGAAGTACTTGGTGGTATTAAAAGTTTATCATGGCTGCTGGTGGCTCAGCACACATCCCATCACAGGATAAGGATCTCAAATCCAGTGGTGGAGGAAGTACTGAGATTGTTTACTTAAGTAAAAGTAGCAATATCTCTATGTAAAAATACTCTGTTACAGGTAAAAGTTATAGATTGAAAATGTTACTTAAATAAAAGGACAAAATATACTTAAAGTACCAAAAGTAAAAGTAGTCACTATGCAGAATGGCACATTTTATGCTGTAACACGTTATTTAATTATAATTATTGATGCATTATTGCTTTTGTCCCTTTAAAGTTGCACCTGGTAAAGGTGGAGCTAATTAAACTATTTTGTGTAGTTAAACTGATTCTGAAAAATAATAGTAGCTAAAGTTATCCAATAAATGTAGTGGTGTAAAAAGTACAGCATTTGCCTCTAAAATGTAGTCACGTTGAAGTAGGAGGAAATGAAAATACTTGAGTAAAGTACAAATACCTCAAAATTGTACTTTAAAAGTAAATGTATCTAGTTACTTTCCACCTCTGCTCAAATCCAAGTCATGTGCATGTACCCGTGTCCACATGAGACTACTCCTTAGTTCAGGCTGGCCTGTGCTCCAGATCTGCACAGCTATGAAAAAGAATAAGTGGATGAAAAAAACTGAACAAATTCATAATGACTGTACTGGTCTTATACTCTGTTTCTGATGGTATATGGCTGGCCACAACCACATTTATTTTCATTATTGATTAATCAGTTAATTTTTGGTATAGCCTATAAAATGTCTGAAAATGTGAAAAATATGTCCATTTCCCCAAACCCAAGTTGACATATTTAAAATGCTTGATTTGTCCAAACCCTAAAGGTATACTATTTACTATTATAAAGATAAAAAAGAAATATTAACACATGAGAATATGGAAAATATTGACTTTTATGCAAAAATTACTTGCCATTAATCAGTTGCTAAGATTCTCACCATTTAATTTTTTGTCAAACAATTCAATAAATTGAATAACTTTTTCAGCTCTAACATAGTACTGCCCATTCATCACAGTTTTAGATGAGAAGATTTCACATTTGATTACTTTTATTGCAATATAAATACTGAAAGAACAGCTGATTACTTTTGGACATTGGTAAAGCAAATCAAGGTACCATTAAGCTCATTGTCTTACTTAACACAGCTATTTCTGTTCATAAGGCAACAGGCCTTTCAAGAAGTATACGGAAATATTCAAGTACAAGCTCTTCAACATCGCTTTTGCTGAAGGCGGCAGTGAAAGTGATTCAGGGATCAGGGGCCACGGGCCAGGGCCCTTGATGAGAGACTGATGTCCCGCTGCAGCGGATATGGCCTAGTCTGGCCCGTGTGAAATTCATCTGAACCAGCAGGTGTCGCTGTATGCATGGCAGAGACTGGAGAAGAGACGGGGCCTGGCTTGGGAATGTGTTGCTCTCTTCCCATTCTTCCTATGCAGACAGACACACAACATGGCGGAATAGAACGGTCGGCTGACGCGCCCGGATACAGTGGATAAACCGTGGGATTTAACATCCAGGGAGGCCAAGAAAGTACCCGCTGAAGCTACGATACGTTAGGGGAAACTGAGGATTTTAGAGGGCGCCTTCCTTACCCGAATTTAGTAGAGAAACTGACTGCAAAGTGTTAACTGTGTCCCAGACCGTACTTCCCTCCTCTGCTATCACCCAGGTCCCCCCACCCCGCTCACACTCGGTTCTTGGGGTGTGGAGACAGGGGCCGGGGTTGAAAAAAAAAACGTGAAAGAGAAAAGGAGGATAAATTCCTGCTTGACTTTGATTTTTCCCCTCTCGGGTTTCCTTTGGGCACTACAGGAGTCGTGGTGAGTTTTCTTGTTTTTGTTGCGCAAAGCCCGAATCACACTTGTTACAATGTCGCCGTAGCAGCATGTTTCCTCTGGCTGTAACATTGTCACCCACAAACAAGCACTTTGTCACCCACAGTTGGTCTTACGGTGTCTTTTACATGATACCCGTTTCACAGCGGAGATAAACCCGGGCGTATGCAAAGAGCAGGGTTGTGTATAATAGTTGTTGGTCTCTTTGCAGCGCCTGGACATTTCAGAAGTAGCTCGGAGGCAGGGAGGGAAATTTTGGCGAAGGGGGCTCGCAAGAAAGGGGGGCTTCAAGATGAGTGCGACAACAAGTCGGAGGCTGTAACTCAGTTTGTGGTGCCAACACGGATGCTGGAGCACTGGAGCTTAAACAAAGAGGGGCTCCAGGTCTGTGCTGTCTCACTGGAAAGTACACTTTATTGATCAACGCTTTGTTATTACACGTTCAGACAAGGGCGGGTGGAGGAGCAGGGGGGTTTCAAATCACAGCGGCTTCTTTGTGTTTCTTCTGCTGCTCTCTCTGCCTGTGCACCCTCCTTTATAAACTCTCCCAAAGTTTTCCTTGTATATGCAGTGATTAATACCCTTCTCTCTTTTGGCTGGGTGTAACCCAGCATACCATTTCACTCTTGTGGGTGTTAAGGCTTTTTTTTAAGGTATCACATTGCTTTCACTTGGATTGCTGAAGTTATTGAACAATCCAGTTCAGATGACTCCTTTGCTAAAAAGTAAGCAGAGAGAAGCATCATGAGGCCCAGGAGGCATGGCAGATCCTGGCTTGGCAGATAGCAGCCTCTGCTATGTCTGCTTGGAGCTTGATTCATCATGTCTGGATTTACTGAATTGCAGAACATATCCACCTTACCTCCGTCTTAGTGCCCTTCCACTTCACCAAGGTTGTCGTGTTATGTCAGGACCCTCACAAGCTGCATCTCCTGCAGTGAAAAGCAGAGCTGTTATCCTCTTGCTCGCTCTGTCCATATCTTTTTCTACCTATTTTAAAATAAGGTAGTTATTTCTGTCTCGGGACCCTGAAAGGGGTTTAGTTGAAGAGTTTGAGTGATCCCCACACCACTGTTTTCATCATTGGCCTAGTTTCTAAAAATAAGAACGAATTATAGCTTCAGATACCCTTGTGGGAGCTTTACATGAAGTTTTGATGGGTGGGTCTTTGAAATTACCTCTGTGTTGTGAAATTTCACAATTTCAGGTTGTTGACACAATATTATGAGTTGGCTGTTTGGGTGGGGCAGGAGGTATATTTTTGTTTCCATCTGTAGGCCTACGTGTTTTGCTGTGGAAGAGCGCTGTAATTCCTGACAGGATAAACACAGCTATTCAGAGGATTATAAAGCATTATAGAGCCTGGTGTCATGCGTCACTCAGCCTTAATGACATAAGGCAATATAGGAAATGAACTTGTGGCAATGCATAAATAAAATATTTTTCCTGATGGGGACAGCCTCATCAGGGATCTTCCAGCTTTGGTCTGTCCTGATGTAATCCCTTCAGATTATTTGTTTTATATCCTCCTGATGTGGGCTGATTAATGTTTCTGGTTCACCACAGCTGGGATGCATATAGATAGTAGTTTATTTCTCTTCAGTGGACTTCAAAGACAAGGTGGGATTATACATTTAAGAGATACTTTAGATGCGTGAGAAGTTTATTTTGTCTTGTGTGATCCAGGTCGGCCAGAATCTGGTTTCTACCTCTAAATTCTTTGAGTTTATTTTAACATTATTTGTTTGTTTGTGGCCATTTGTTGAGATAATGGCAGTAAATATGGGAGTTGTGGATGGAAGGCAAGTAGATTTGGTAAAAATCAGTGTATCAGGGTTACACTAGGCTGATACATATATATTCATTGATTGCTACAGTCATGTAGGCAAAAGATCAATATTTTCTCTTTTTGTTAACAGAAAAGATAAAATTGTGACCAAAAACTATCCATTTGGTCATGCTGTGCTTTTGTATTTTAGTTTTTCTTTTATCCTCTACTACAGAAAACTTAGTGCTTTTTTAAAACAGTGTTTTCACAGTCAAGGTCAAACTTTGGTCAGAATTAAAACCATGACTGTCATAGCTATAAACATTTATATTTGAACTTGGCATCTTCCTTTGAACTGAAGAGGCCTTCCTTGCCTTGCTGTGAGAAGCTGTCCAAAGAAAGGTAGTCCTTAAAATGCACCGCCTAAAAATGAGTGGAGAAGAAAAGAGATTGTGGGGACGCACTGTCACGTTGATGCTGATAAGCCGTGCCTCAGTTTGTTGTCTCTTCATCTTGAATGGGCTTCTTATTGTTCATAGGGATGAGACGGGGGTGAGTGCAGTAGGTTGGACACTTCTGATATGAGGACCTTCACTTTGGACCAGTGTCCAGAGCAATGTTGAAAACCTGTCTGTTTTCCTGCTGCATGTCCTTTAGGGCTGGATATCATTTCATAATGTTCACCGTTTAAGCTCAGAAGTAAATATTGTGCCTTTTACTCCACTGTATTATTTACAAATGAAGATTTTATATAAAATTGACCGAAGAGCTTATGACACATTGCCAAAGACTGAACTAGCCAACAGTATATAAAACACAAAATAACTTATGCACCTCAAACAACTATAAGAGCAAAATGCTAGTTTTGCACCGGCAGGGGGAATTCTGTTGATACATTCAGTACATAATAGGCTACTTGTGCACTTGTAAAAGAGCATTTGTGTATATGCTACGATTAATTATCTGAATATTTCCTCTACTAGTAGTATTGATATGATACCTGAGTGTTGATGCTAATACTAGAAATACTTTTTTGAACCCTTGCCTTTTTGTTTTTAGAAAAACTTTAAAAAGTGTAACTTCTTAAGTGTTAAATATTGCCTAAATAGCAGCAGCTGCACAAAAATGACAAAAGTTTTATTTAAATCAGGAGTTATGTGATCAAAGAATAGGTATACAATAGTAAGGGTCTGACCAGGCATTCAATTCTAACTTTTTTTTTGCCTTGGCAGTTTTCGGTACTCTGTGATACAGATAAATTTCACCTGATGCTCAGCCTTAGCTGAATGCTGGAGGTAGAAATTAGTTTGTGTGGTTAATGTTCAGATGGCAGAAGTGATAGTGAGTGGGATTTTGTTGTGGCCCTTTACCGCCCATTTGGCCCCACACCACGCTTCAAGGTCACAGTGGCTTCTGTGGGGAGGCCACGCTTTTCGCCTTCACATCCTCTCTGCATCCAGTGTGGGAAAGCTTGAGAGGGCCCTGGCATGCTCTGTGAGAAACCCCACAATGAAGCAGACCGAGCAGAGCCTTACTGACTCACCACTTTCACTTACTGAAACAAGTGAGTTTTCATCAGCCTTCCAGCCTGAAGGAACCGGATCATCATTACAGGCTTAATAACAGACACCGTGGTCACTCTTGCCTGTGTGATTAGCCAGAATAGTAATCCCATGCTTCTCTTCGTCTTGTCATCAACTCACCAGCTCATGAATGAAGCCAGCAGGAACAGAAACCACACCAGTGGGGAGTAGTATCCCTCAGAAAGGGAAGTCCAGAGGATTGTGGCTGTTGTATGTGGCACTGGGGACATATAATCTGTGGTCTGTTTCAGAGCAAGAATCCTAGCGGCCCTGGGTTAGGCCTACTTCAGTCTCCCGTGAAGAGAAGCATTCACAGTATCCCTGTTGCCTTGCACCTCCCCTCCCTCTCAAGACATAGAAACAGTATTAATATGCCATGAATAGAGACAGACAGACAAGCATTATCTAGCACTGAGTGAGGAAAATACTCTCTGAAAGAATGGTGGACCCTTTGATCACCACTGCTGGTGTCATGTCTGTGAGTATGCTGGGTTTCCAGCTTTGTTTAACCTCTATGAATTATTAATAAGATTAGTTGATTTTTAAGAATCGCACTACACATCAGAGGATTCTGTTTTAGTCGCTGTATTATTTGACTACGTTTGCCATTAGGTTTCAGTCAAATCTAAACACACGATAAACTGAGGAAATAGCAACAACTATTAAGGATTCTTGTCCCAGGGTCAAGAGATCACTCAAAAAAAGATCTGTTTCTATCTTGAGCTATTCATTAATTAATGTCCGTGCAGACAGAAAAGATACTTATTACTTCATCTAAGGTCACAAGTAAAGACAAAAGCATCAGTGAAATCCACAGGCTTGAATGGGAGCTCTCCATATTAAATGACTTCCTTGCATTGATCCTGCGTCTTGGCCTTTGGTTGTCATGGAGATGTAATTGGACTTCCTTTATACCCCACCTATAAGTGTTCCTTTCACTGCATGAATGAAATGGCATGGGAACAGCCCAGCCCTTTCACAACTGTGTGATTGCACTACCACTGAGGTCTGCAGTTGGTCACAGGCAGAGAGGCAACTGTCTTCATTAGTCGGTTGGGCTCAGCCCTGGCATGCACATTAAGGAGTGGGCTCTGTTCTGCATGATGGTGTCCACTTTCACACAAGAGAGTTTGAAGTTCGAGCCCTGTGATAGACTGGTGACCTGTCCAGGGTGTACTCTGCCTCTCGCTCACTGTCAGCTGGGATTGGCTCCAACTCCCCTGTGACCCTGTTCAGGATAAGTGATATTGATAAGTTGTAGTATGTTGTCTTAATAATAAAAAAAAAACAGATAGATTTCTGAAATAAAATAATTTCCTATGACACTGAATTGGCAGTTATTAGGTACACCTAACCAGAGGTGTAGTGTTACTTGATGAAGTGCCAGATCATATCTATGAAGTGCATGCACATGGTTAAGTTGTAGCTTGTTTCGAGGGCCATGTAAACACTTGGCAGTTACCCACATGATCAAATGTTAGACTGCCTTTATTCTCTGATGTGGCAGAATAACAATATGAATTAGCATTCACTAAACTGTGTCACTGTGTACCATCCACGTCATCATATATGTGGTTGAACAAAACACACTCACGGGTGCCAATTCTGCATTGGAGGGTGGATTGTTTGAGGTG